GGGTGTACCGGGAGTGGATCCAGTACTGTGCCCGGAGGGGGCGCGAGGTGGGAAGGCGGGCGGGGGCCGAGGGCAGGGCTGGGGCGCCGCGAGCGGGTAAGAAACGAGGGCCATTGCGGGTCTCTCATACGCCACAGCCGACGAGAATAAGGCAGGAGAGAGAGATCCATTGGGGGGTGGGGCCATATGCTCGTTTAACGGTTCAGTGAGTGGGAGAGTCAGCACACCTGTCCTCGGGGAAGGGCCGCGAAGTTCAGGCAGCTCTGCACCGCCATCCCTTGGAGCAGGGCAGTGTGTGTCTGAAATGACACCAGCCTGCCGCCTGGGCCCGAGCAGCGGTCAGGAGCGCTGAGCATGTGGACTGCGGGCAGACGCCGGCCCGCAGGCCGCTGGCCGCTGCCTCCACAGTGCCCCTCTCTGCCTTATGGCGCATGCCCTGAGGACACTTCTGGAGAGAGCCTTCCCCTCGGGAACGAACACAGCACTGCAGCAACAGCCCATGAGGGGCTGGCATCTCCAGAAGGCTCTGCCCCCCTCAGCTGGCTCAGATTTATTTCCCACAGAAGCTATTCTGACTTTAAATGTCTTCTGCACCCCCGCCCCCACCTCTTTCAGAGCTGCCCTCGGCCGGCAGTGCTAGTCCCATTGTGGACTGGGGGTCCCGTGGTCAGCACAGCAGCCCCCCCCTCTAGGGAGAAGGAAGAGCCTCCTTCCTACACGTGGCTCCCCCTGCCTGATTGATGGGCAACCCCCCGACTGTCCTCGGGGAGCTGGGCATCAGGCCACATGTGGCCCCTTCTCCCTAAAGTGCCTTCCCACCTTAATTTTGTCCATGTTCAACCACAAGAGAAAGTGCTTCAGGAGCCGGGGGCCCAGCTGGAGGGCCCAGATGACCACAGGGCTGCCATAAAATACGTCTCCGGCTCCCCATACTCGACCCCACCGGCATGGGCTGGACCCCACATGCAAACCGAGTTGACATCCTGGCTCTTTCAGCCCGCGCAGGTCCCGGACAGTGACGAGGACTCTCCCCTGGTGACCCTGTCCTTCGCACTGTGTATCCTGGGGAGGAGAGCTCTGGGGACCGCAGCTCACAACATGGCCCTCAGGTATGGGGGGACCCAGCTCACAACATGGCCCTCAGGTATGGTGGGACCGTGGCTCACAACGTGGCCCTCAGGTATGGCAGGACCGCGGCTCACAACGTGGCCCTCAGGTACATGGCCCTCAGGGAGGCCTTGGCTGGACAGGAGCCTGTGTTTGCCGTCCTTAGAGCATAGCACACACTTCCCTGCTCAGCGCCCCCCCATGGGCCAGCTCTTGGGGATGTTAGAAGTCTAGGATGGAGTTAGGATGGTGGGCAAAGGGAGAGAAGAGAGGGAAGACCACCCTTCCTCTGCTCTGATGGAGGACAAGCCACTTTCCCAAAACCACCCCCATTTCGTCCACTGTCCAAAGGCCCCAGGCCCTGAAGATTCTCCTGGGGACACCAGGGGCTCCCCTCAGGAAGCGCTCAATGGTGTGTAGGACCCGGGGACAAAGCAGAAAAAACAACAAACAGGAAGCCAGGACAGCCCTGGGCAGTGCGGAGCCTCCCTGTTCTGCCCCTCCCTCTGCTTAAAGGAGGGCGGGCCTGAGAAAGAGCCGCTCTGAGAACCCCCAGACCACCTGGAGGCTCCCCCCACATGGTGGAGGGATCCAGTTCACATGAGAAGCAGAGCCCAGAAGGGTGTCCGGACCACAAGGCAGACACATGGAGGTGCCTGGGCTCTCCACAGCCAGCCCTGGCCGCCCTGGCCGGAGTGCTGGGAGCCCTCCGAGCCTCCACACTGGTCCCATCGCAGGCAGGGATGGAGCACTTGGGTGACTCCGTGGAGGCTGAGATAATCGCAGGCCACAGTCCGCGTCCTGACGGTAGGCGTCCAGACCCCTGGGGCGAGGTGTGAGCCATCGTCCTTTCTCTGCTGGGTCAGCCTAAGAATGTTACAGTGGTTCTTAGGTGAGGCAGTGGGGGTTCTGCAGCCCCTAACTGGCTGTGTGGGCTTCATCCTGCAGCCTGGACTCCTTCCTCTACGGGCTCCACACCCTCTTCAAAGGGGACTTCCGAGTGACCGCCCGGGACGAGTGGGTGTTCGCCGACATGGACCTCCTGCACAAGGTGGTGGCGCCCGCCATCAAGATGTCCCTGAAACTGCACCAGGTAAGGCTCGCCTTGAACGAGGTGATGAGGTGCAGGCCTGGCGGCTGCGGGAGCACACACAGGGGCCTCCCGCCAGCACTGCGTGTCTGTGGGCTCGTTCCGTGTCCTCGATGCTGACCTGTGACTTGTCCTCAGGAGCTGCTGGGGGTGGTGCTACTCCCCAAGGGAAGAAGCAGGTGCAGGCTAGGGGCCGCGGCACGTCACACGTGCCCACACGTCTAAAAGCCACAGGAGCCCGAGCCGTGACCTCTCTGTGAGGGCCCTGCGCTGCGGAGGTGGGCTGGGGGCCAGCTCGGGCCTCGAGGAGCAGGCGGGCACGAGAGGACAGGACTGGGTGCGGGAGGTCCCTGGCCCGCAGGGCACCCACCCGGCTCCCCCGCCAGGACCAGTTCACGTGCCCCGACGAGTACGAAGACCCCGCGGTCCTCTACGAGGCCATCCAGTCTTTCGAGAAGAAGGTGGTGATCTGCCACGAGGGCGACCCGGCCTGGAGGGGCGCGGTGCTGTCCAACCAGGCGGAGCTGCTCACGCTGCGGCACGTGGTGGACGAGGGCGCCGACGAGTACAAGGTCGTCATGCTGCACCGGGGCTTCCTGAGCTTCAAGGTGATCAAGGTACAGCGTCCCCCGCGGCGGCTCCCGGGCCGGGCTGAGGACAGAGTCGCATGGACTCTGCTCAGGGCACGGGCTCGGGGCCAGCGCCAGCCGTAGGTGGGATCAGGGGCGGCTGCCCTGAGCGCCCACATGGGCACCGACGGGGCAGGACGCCCAGTGGGCACATGTGAGGCGAGGCCGAGGCGAGGGCCAGGTCCAGCCGCTTTGTAGACATTCTCGTCCTTCCCCACCCAGACCTTTCTCCAGTGACCTGCCCCGGGTCCTAGAGCTTTGTTACCCATGAGTCCTCTGTTCACACGAGGGGGCTCCATGAAGTTCACGCGTGGGCTGGCCACGTAACCTCGTGGTTAAGGGAACCAGATCCCACATGGCTGTGTGCCCAGCAGCTTGAGACCCACACCAGGCGTGTGTGCCCCGAGCTTTGACAAGGTGCAGAAATGAAGGAGAAAGGACGTCAGCGTGGCCACACCCACACAGGGAGTGTTTTCTCTCTGTCTTTCCAGCAAGCGCGGGTGCCCTCTGCCAGTTAGAGTCGTGAAAAAGTGAAACTGAGGTGTGAGCTTATCTTGAAATTTGATGCCCCTTGTAGGGCTTCAAACCACTGGGATAAACCAAAACCTGACTTCCTGTTTTCGCTCGGTTTCCCCGTGAAAGCGGCATTGCTTCCACCAGGCTGGACTGCCGTCCTGGCCTGACCACGGTGGCCCGTAAGCAGCCCCAGGGCCTGCGCTCTCCCTGAGGGTAAGGACAGGCTGCCCCGTGCCACCTCCGCCCTCCTCCCTGTCCCCTGCAGGTCAACAAGGAGTGCGTGCGTGGCCTCTGGGCGGGGCAGCAGCAGGAGCTCGTGTTCCTGCGCAACCGCAACCCGGAGCGCGGCAGCGTGCAGAACAACAGGCAGG